AGTGTTATCTTCATTGAACCAACAAGGAAGGCTATGGGAAACAATGTAGGGGTCTTATCAGAACAAAATGAGAAGCAATAATCGTTATATACGTGAAGGGTTATCAGTGAGAGTAGCAGTGCCATCATGGAGCGAAACAAATGGTTTTTCATCTGAATTAATTAAATTCACTGTCATGCCTCAACCTGTGAAGCGCCTCTTTCATATTCCCGTGTACTTACGTCTAAATCGATCAGTTTAAGTTTATAGTCGTTCACGTCGAATCAAACTTTATGTATTTGAAGCAGCTCAAACGTATCTGTAATAGATACGGGCGTAATTTCATTGGCTTGATCTTTATGAGCCATGAAATCCTCATGCGCACTTTATACGTGTGTTTATCTACCAATCACATTTACTACTTGAGACGGGTTCAAAGAAACAGAAACAACTTTCTTTTCAGCCAGATCTCTTTAGTGTGATAGCAAAAACGTGTTTTATAAAAACCGCTTGTAGAAAGGACAATTCTTTTCCTCATATTTTTATCACAAGGGAATATTGGGGTCAATCTCAAGTTTTTTTTTCGCACGATTGTACTGCTGAGGTATAACAGTGAAAGCAAAGCAATTTTAATTAAATATCTGTTAGAAATATATATACAACATATCTGGGGTTGTACTACCTTAAAACGAAAGTTAAAAATAAGGTTACCAACTATAAAGATTAAAACATAAGGTAAACAAAAATGAAAGAAGTTCTTTTATAATTTAATCTGAAATAGAAGCAAACATCTTACAAAACACGCAGACAAGAGGTAAAAACATCTCTTGCTAGATTTTATAAAAATCTCCACAGTTGTATCTTAAATTAAAATAAATTACAAAAATTAAAAGCTCACTTTTAATTAAATTGATTTAGTTTCTATCATCGCGCCACATCTTTTGCGTTTGACGGTTGGCAACCCTACTGAAAAAGGAGCTGATTAATTCGACGTCGATCATTTCCATGTCTACATCCTCGTAGAAGCCTTCCAGTCGCTTTCCGTTCGTCTTCTGCAATCCCAACTTAACTTTTAAAAAGAACAGTCACACTAAGTTGCGAATGCTATAGAAGAAATATTCCAGTACTGATATTCGCGTAAAATAACTTCCAATTGGAGATTACTCTCCGACAGTGTTGATTCAATTACTTAAGGTAAACAGGGTTCATTTCTGCCTTATCTGTAAGTTGTAACTTGTAACAGATAATAACACAAACAAACAAACAAGAGGGATAGTGAATAGCGCGGCACAAGTATATTGCGGTATATTAATGTCTAACGTCTGACACTAATCAAGTAAATCGTATACTACAACCGTAATTAATACTCAATAAGAATCAATAACTCAATTTACGTTAACAGCAAAATCTTGACTCGACCACGAATCGTCCGTACAAATCAGTTATGTATATTTATAAAAGCATAAACGTGACGTTAACTTCGAGGAAATTACTTTACGATGCACAAATAACTAAATTTCTGAACAACAACAATGCATGTAATATAATTAATTCAACATTTATATAAGATAGCATGCACAAATCCTTCGGAGTGACACAAGTAATATAACTAAAAAACGTAGATATCGGTTTCGGATTGGGTCGCGGTAATTGCAAAATAGTTATTTACATACAAGTCAGGAAAATGACACATTACTGCCGAGGAAATATTGAAGAACGAGGCCTCTTTGGGGCCGAGTACTTTAGTTTCCGAGTCAAGTAGTGTCATTTTAGTGACGAGTTTTGTATTAAATTTTAGCTGAAATTGTCTTTTAATATAAAATTTCAATTTTTATATAGAAATTTTGATTAATGTCAATCTGGCAGTGATGACAGGTGTCATTATAGACATTTACAAATGTCACAAATGCGGCCGGTAAAGTGACGGTGCGAGCGCTAAAGTGACAGGTGCGGCCAGTAAAGTGACAAGCGGCAGGAAACGTAGTCTGCGCTGCCTCTGTCATGGAAACTAAATTTCTTGACAGAAAGTAGGCATGAAATTGAAGGCTTCAGGACGATTTTGGGTAAGCTAATTTACAAAGCAACTGTAACTAAATATTTCGCATAACAAACTAATCTGAAGGATACGTAATTAAACTAGCAGGAATTAATCTTCGGAGAAAAGTCAACAAAATCGGGTCTCGGAGAGTATACACTTCGGTAACGACAAAAGGTCATGTACGTAAAGTCAGATATTAAGAGCGATTTATAAGAGTAATAATCTCCAAAAGGTTTCGTAATACTTGCAGTTAGATTCCAGGAATAATGAACGTCCACGTAAGTAGGTCACCAGGTCATTTAGGTGGAATGTTGAATCACGAGATTGATTTTGATCTAAAATGGCGGTGGAGCTTTCCAATGAACCTTTCTTGTGCAGTACTGAAAATTGAAAATTCTGCGGTTTTCACAAAGGAATGTCGATGTAGATAGCAATAATCAGAGAGAAGCGAAAAAAGCGAAAAAAATATTATTCACAGGCAAGGGTCATGCGCAAATTGTTGGTACATACCGTAAAAGACTTTAGATTTTGTAAAATATATCCGCAAATACTCAAGAAAGAAGTTTCACAGAGATATAAGTACCACCAACAAAGCCCATTTGTTGAATGTGTTCCTGTACAAGGAATGCGTATGCAAAAAAGAAAAGAAGAGCATGACCTCTAGCAGCGAAAATTAAAAAATACTATTGTAAATGATATCTATAACATTTTGATGGCCTCTAGCAGCGAACTAAAGAACTAACGTAATAAATCTGCTACAGAAATAACTTACATCATAACTAAACGGGTTTACAAAGAAAATACTTAGATGGCGTAAAAATATCAAAGTTTAAATTTAAATTTAAATCAAATGTTCAAACGCACCATGTAAACCTGGTACCGTGTCTCGTTTACTTTTTTCCAAAAATTTGTTATCCGACAGGCTTTGACTAACTGAGTGCCTTTATTGGTTGAACAACAACAGAACGCAAACTTTGATTTTGAAACGCTTACCTAACGCCTTGACGGCAGCTTCTCCTTATACTTCTTAAGGTCAGGTAAGGTAAATAGATTAAATTAGTTACATCTTTACTCATTGAGCCAGCCAACTTTGTTCCTTCTTACCAGTCATGCGTTTAGAAAAGCCTTGTCCAGCCTCGGGCGTAAAGAACTGCAAATGTGCGGTCCGCACGTTTTCATTGCGAGCGAATTGAAATCATCAGAAAATGATACGTATTACACATTAACTTTGTCTTATCGCCCGCCAGACTTGCGCCCACTACTTTCCCATGCAATTACTCGGTCACGACACATCCGGTTAACATTGACTTCAACAAAGAGCGACAACTTTATAAAGAAACCATTGACTGAAAAGAAATAAAGCAACCAATTTTTTCATTGCAGAGTTTCTGTATTCCCGCCTACAGTCATTATATTGATTTGCCAGTACATTCTAGCTAAGATAAAGGCGGGACCACTCTGCGTAGTGGTCATCTGACTATACGGATGGCATTAATATTTTTTAAATTTTGTAATTTTAATTAAATGCCAGATTACTGCATTCCAAAGTGCAAAAATAAATCGTAGCAAGAGTTGAAAATTAATTGTGAATTTACAACTGTCGCGATGTAACAATGTAACAAAGAAATGGAAAATTTGACATTTTCCGTATATTCAAAAGAGACTAAAACACCCACGCCCTACGGCAATCTCCAGACGCAGACATTATTTTTTCCATGGAGTAACAAAGGTTTCTTTGCTCCATGCTTTTACTGAGGCACTTTGGAAAGTTGTACTACACTCAGTCGATCGAGAAAGAAATTGTAATTCGTTTAGGATTTATTTTGCCAAGAAAAAATGTATCCATAAAACAATCCACCGCCATTTATTTGCCATTTTTCTGGAAGAATTGTGTTAGGAAGTAGAAAATCAAACAGTTTTAAAGAACCTATTAGTATGTTTTGCACGAGTTATCGAAAAACGTCCCATTTTATACAATTAATTGTGTTCTTTGCCGCAATGCGGGGAAATGCACAGCTAAAAATTAATTCTGGCTAAACGCGAAACCTTGGAAGCGTGATACAGTGTAATAATTTATAATGAAAGGAATGTATCGACGTTTTGAAACGAAATTCTGAAAGACTGATAATATGTAGGTGATTTATTAAAATCATGCGGCGTGAAACCTTATTTAAGGGTGACATACAACTTCTTGAATAGACGATTTAGGTTTCCTTCGAAAATATCTTGCAAACTTTTTAATTGAGTACTTAGAAAATGCAAATGATGACAATAAAGCTCAAATTGATTGAATTGATACTATATTCCATTTCCAGTGTGACTAGTTAAAGGGATAGGATCACTTCCTAATACAGTGTGCATCCTAAAAAATTGACGGTAGTGCGAATAGAGACAAATATTTTGAACAAATAAATCTAGCATGTCAACATTAGCCTTTCAATTTCTTGTTTTTCACATTATCATTCACAGCTTTATTTATCCTTATCATCAACAACACTTCGCTCTACATATTTAAAAATTTGTTCCAATTATGCCTACACAATTATCAATATTTTGGCTTTTTAATTCAATCGGAGAGAACTGCAACTGTGTACGTATTCCACACTAAGAAACTTAGTAACAGTTGCTACTGCGACCCGGAATGCCTTTTCAAGTCGCTACTACTAAAAATCAGGTTACCTTAAAATAGGGCACGTTTTGAAAGTCAATATTTTATATTAGTGTTTGTATTTCTAATGGCGATAGGCTTCCTTGTGGCACCTAGTATAAATACTTCAACAAATAAAAAATCCGTTGACATATTACTTCCTAAATAAATGAGTAAAATTGATTTTTTCCACTTTCCAGTCGATGTGCTTTACGGAAGAATCGATAACACGACCTTTTGTAATTACTTTAAATAGATAGTAAATTGGAAACTACGTATCTACCCACCAAATCGTTTGTAGTACATCAATTACTATTGTAATTCTCTTTATTGCAGGTGTGTGGAAGCGGACGAGTGAACGACAAAGGATTTTAGATGACAGGTACGTTCTAATAATACGGTTTTGCGACTTTATCACAGACTCCAATTAAGATACTTTGTACGTATCCGAAAACAAGTCGGGCATACAATTTAATATGGACGTTAACATACATTGTCAATAATCCAGAACACAACTCGATATTAATTTGCTCAGCATCACGGTAACAAGCTAATTAAGCCGATTATGTATTAACGCTGTTAACGAATAGACTATTACGATTTTCTAGTACTAAAGCTAGTTGCTACAATTTTTATGGCTTGGCAATGTACGCAGGCAAAGCCGGTTTGAGAATTTCATCGCAATGTAAGTGCTTCGAAGCGTACAACGCCGTAACATACGTCTAGCAGCACCGTACAGGTTAGTAGCGTCGTAGCAATCGGAAACGAATAACTACGTCCCGATTGATCTAAATCTAAATGCGTGGTCTGACTTTTATACTATCGAAATTTATCGATCGATAGCGTGTATTTGCTATTAAATATTTAATTAATATCCAAGTCCACGCACGTTCTTTTCGAACCGAGCAATCTCAAAGAGTTAGTTACATGTACTTTGTTTTCAAGAAACTTACGTAGTTTTTTTTCTTATTAATGGCTTCTTGCCTTTTACTTTGCCTACGTGACTAAACTACTATCCTCCCTTAGTTCCACAAGATTAAATAATTTCGCTCGACATACATTTAATCCTAATCGTCTGTTGGTGCTCGAAACTCGAATTATGAAATTATTCAACATTGTAGATGTAAGGATTTTGGAAACGGCGCATAACTCAATTCGTTTAAGGGGTATAGAATAGATTAATTAGTTTCACCAGGTGAACCCACTAGTGTAATTTGGGCATTTGAAACTACAACCTTAAGTCATACGGCAGAGCTGGGACGAATCCCCCAAAAAATAATTCGAATCACGAATCCGAATCATCAATAATGGATTCGAATCACAGATACTTTGATTCGGATCCTTTACCGCTTGCGACATGATTTGAATCCTAGTATTCGAATCATTTTTCGGATCACGGATCACAGATCAACAAAAAAATAAAACCACAGAATTTTAAAGAGTATTTGGAGTTTATTCTTAGAATCCTACAAAACTAAGACGGGTAGTTATAAAAATCATCACTGAGGTCATAGGGCTTTCTCTAGGTTTTCAATTTCCGTAGTGTTCTGTTCTTATACTCTGTACGTATTATAATTATTAAGTATCATAAAGTAAAGTTCGAGAATATTACCTAAACAAGTAAAAACAAGAATAATGAATATGAAGTTTATAGATAACCAAATAAGCATTATACTAAACTAAAAATAAAATTAACAAAAAAATATTTATTTGTTGTTTGCCTTAGACAAAACTAATATTTCAAAATTCTCGGTGATTCGGATGCATACACTGAGGATTCGAATACGAATCCTTTCTGATAAATGCAACGAATCCGGATCACGGATCCTTTTATTTTAAAGTATTCGGATCCCACTTCCGAATCACCGAAAATGATTCGAATCCAGTATTCGATTCCTTAGTGATTCGAATCCTCCCCAGCTCTGTCATACGGATTGCACACCGTACAAGTTGATGAAGTCTAAATATTTTAGGGTCAGGGGACTTTAGAATTGAAGTAAAGAAAGCATTTTCGAACTGTTCGTGTTGGTTACAATGTTTAAAAGAAACTCGTTTGCATAATTACATACAATTACAAGATCTTTGTGTCGTATCCATTCGAACATTGATACTGTGAACTAATTTTTAATTACCCTAAATGTTGGAAATTGTACTGGGTAATTAGATAAAGGAAAACGCAATAATAGACACGCTTTAAAAACAGATCGAGGTGTGACTAGAAGTTTGCGCAATGGTAATCTTAAATGAGACGTCAAGTGTAGGTAAATTCTCATTTACGTCTAGTTCTCGCGTTCGTCGTGGAAATATCTGTAATTTCCAGTGCAATACGCTTTTCGTTACCCCATTATCCAATCATTGTAGTTATCTTTCGTTCGTCCTAAAAATAATTATTCCAAGATTAAGGTTTACGGCTCAGCCAAAGATCCAATTCATTCGAAAGTGATCAATAGCTTTTATGTTTGACTGCGTCCCATAATTATAAGTAACGCGCCCTCCCTACTTGATATAGGTGGCTAACAAGGTTGTAATTATTTTAGGTGACCTTTTCCATTAAAATAGCATTCCAACCGCACTTGCGTCAATCAACCAATTTACTAAATGTTCCGCCGCAAAACCCATTAAATTTTGAAGTGAGTGATTAATTCCTCCGAATACTCGTAAAAAAACGAGCGAAAGCTGTAAAATAACATCGCCGCTAAATCTTTCCGATCTCTTTCTTTCGAATTGAGTACAATGCACGCCGCTTGAATTTATTGAAATAGAGATTAACGGTCTTCTTGAGTGTCGTAATATATTTCTCGAATTCTTTCGAATACAGTGTAATTCCATACAACGATTTATTTTTTGGCGAAAATGTATTTGAAATCCGAAACGAAAAGAAAGTAACTCTCCGAAATTCATCAAGCGAGACCTATTAATGAAAGTGCGTTCATAGTCGCCTGGCAAACAATATAAATTGTTTACGGAGTGTTGACTGTGAGTGTTCTCTTTTTCCGATGGGAATAGCATTTCCGGTTTTATAGGGGTGTCGCTGTTTGGAAGTGAGAACGACTTTTTAGTAAATTGTCACTTTTGTTGCTTTAACACATTTATCTGCTTGATATCGTAACGGTAGCTCAAATGGCACACCTCTAATCTTCTTACATTGAAATTTAATTAAAAGAAAAATAAATATATATTACAAAATTGTATTGTAAGTAACAGATCTAATAGCTGCAATCGGCGACAACCACTTACATATGTCGACGGAACGGCGGCAATATTTGGCTGAGCGAACCGACGAACGGGCTCGGGAGCCACGAAGCGAAAATCTGGCTCGAATTTACGGAAACGGTAAGGATTAATACGGTACTTACAAATATTATAGTTAGCGACAATGCAAAAGCAGACAGATAGATTTATTTACTATTCGGTTAAACGCCAAAAAGCAAAAAGATAGGGACTCATAGTGCGTTTCCTATTTATCGAAATGTCCATTTCGAGTATGGATTTCCATTTCGTACACTTGTATCTTAAACACGTTCAACCAAATTAAACTGTTTTTAATTAAGTATTCGGCCTGCAGTTATCGAAAAATATGGGACAGCTTGCAATCATCTGGAAAAATTAGAGCGCATCCAGAAAGAACTCCCACGACTGTTTCTGATAACGTTCACTGCAACTCATTAAAACATCAGTCATTAATTATGCCTACCCAATTAGGCACGTTAAAACTTCAATATGCGCTAATCCAATTAACATCTAAGCCTAATTGGCACAACCACTGTTGTCGTTATCTACACACATGCACTCTGCAAACCTGTGTTCACACCTCGATTTGGAATTCGTTATATTTGTTTTCCCTTATAGTAGGGGAGCTAACACGAAATCCACTGAACGAGAATGATCAAAATTTTAACCGATGGTGTTCCATTTTGCCCTATCAGAGTATGCTAAAATCGATCGTCTGCCGCCTCAGGTCATATGACTTAAGGCGCTGCGGGTACTTCTTGCGGTACCAATTCTGAAAGGTTGTTTTTCGAAAAAATAAGTTATATACCAAATGAAAACGTTGATAATAGCTCTTAAAAAAATATTTAAAAAAATCCCGCGCATTTGATAACTCCGTAAAAAAACAATTCTTAGTCGGTTTTTCACGAACTTTCTACGGATATAACTAGGTTACGGTGGGACGAATGAAGCTGATTTTTTTTACAGACTCATGATAAGCACTACTAATGACTTAACGGTGTTCCGTTTTTAAATTTTGTCTCTAATTACAAGATTATCTTATTAGCTTAACATTATAAGATATCTTATAATTAGAGAAAAAATTTAAAAAAGAAACACTCTCATAGTCATTGGCTGTACCTATCATTGGTCTGTAAAAAAAATCAGCTTCATTCTTCCAACGGTAACCTAGTTATATTCGTAGAAAGTTCGTGAAAAACCGACTAAGAATTGTTTTTTTACGGAGTTATCAAATGTGCGCGATTTTTTTAACTATTTTTTTAAGAGCTATTATCAACGTTTTCATTTGGTGTATAACTTATTTTCTCGAAAAACAACCTTTCAGAATTGGTACCACAAGAAGTACCCGCAGCGCCTTAAGTCGTATGACCTGAGGCGGCAGACGATCGATTTTAGCATACTCTGATAGGGCAAAATGGAACTCCATCGGTTAAAATTTTGATCATTCTCGTTCAGTGGATTTCGTGCTAGCTCCCCTACTATTACTATTGGAAAACAAATCGATTAATCGGTAGTCAACGGACCTAAAACTTAATAAAACTGATTATCTCTCTTTTCCCTGGCAAGAGAGCTTTCGGCGGCTGTAAAAACAATTTAAATATTCCTTCAGGACAGGTTGGAAAACTGATAAATTCACTACTAAACTTACATGGTTACCGGCGGTAAAATAAACAATTAAACAAAAATGAAAACACAAACTCAGTCTTCTAGAGCGAATAAGTAGTAAGTTTGATTTCAACTGCACCCCATCGTTTGTGAAACACTAAGCTGGTAAGTAGTAAGCATAGCACCTGTATAATGCTTTCATATTCTGTATCAAAATATTCATTTCTGCATTTCAGATTGTAAAAGTGCCTTTCTATTGCGTCCACCGAAGCATTGAATGAAAGTATGTGTTAAATGATGCTGGGCGTGTATATTCGTAGAACCAATTTGAAATTTAACTAGGTAGTTCAATGTGATTTGCTCGTGACGTACATTTAACGGAGTGCCTTTGAATTACGTACTCGTAGTTGAATTAGTTTGAATCGATCCCCACTTGTAGTGTTTGTAGTTACACACCTTGGTAATGAATTTCAGGCGAATTACCTTAACAAGATCTTTGATTCCTAAACATGTTTAATATCGAAATCGTGTCCTTCCATTCTCACA